TGGGTTTGGGGTACTCAAGTTTAGACTTGGGTATTGAGTTTACCCTTGGTCAGTTGTCAAAAAGACCATTTTTTTTCTTCTTTTTCAAGTGCAACTTATCAGTAGTAACTTTTTGCCATACATGATGAAGCGCAACATAGAATAACTACGTATAAAGAATTTGGTGCGGGCAAGAACAAAAATCTGTTCTTTTTATAAAGGCTTTTTAATTTGGGATAGTACTGTTAGCTGAAAGCTGTTCTGTACATGTATTTAAGACACCGAAAAATAACGATGATCTTCACAAAATAAATAGCATAAAAGAACTCAACGTTTTTAGACATTTCACCTAATTTAAAGAAAGTTCTTGTCGGTACCGTCTTGCACAGGACGAAACAAAACACTGCACATTCTGTTTTCACATGGACTACTATGAAATAAAGCAGCTTGCTAGACTCTTATTAACCCAAGTCCAACACAATGCCAGACCCAACTCTGACCCAAACCCAATACCCAAGTCTAGACTTGGGTACCCCAAACGCAAACCCAATTCTTTGGTTGGGTTTGGGTTTGTAACATACCTAGCTGAGATGTTCTGCAAATACGAACGGGTTTGCAAGCGAAGATCGCTTTTGAATAAAGTGGAACTAGTGTACGAATGCATGAGCTTCTAGATGATATTGTTATAATTTTTGGTCAAAACATCTGAAACTGAAAGACATCTTAGGCTGTTTCCATCAGTGTTCAAAAAACATCTGGAAACCTTTAATGAAGGTCTGGCTGTCATGGATCCTGAGATATCCCTAAGTCATCCGTTCATGTGCATAGCCCAATATTGATCTTTTAAAAGAATTCCGTATTTCTGACAACGGAGGCTTAAGTCTTATTTTCTAATGCTCAAAGTCCATACATCGCACATTTGATACAAACCCTGGTTTTAATACAACTGAGAATCGTTTACTTCTGTTTAAATCGTCAGTGCTACAGAAGAACCAAACACCAAGCTTTCTAACAGCAGCACGAAACCGAAAATACATAGAAAGTGCGCCCTTTTGCTGCACTTGTCTCTTTCAATAAGCGCTTTTTCGGTCTTTATGGTCTTTCGATCTTACCATCCATGTTTGTACGTTTGGTTTCCTCTTTAAAAAAATGGATCAGCGTTTATTGGTTGACTGGTAACCCAATCGGCTGTGCGATTCTAAACAAATGTTCGGTCATTTCCTCTCCATTTAAGGACTTACAATAAGACTCCAAAGGTATGAGTTAGAATCAAAGTTTTTGCGCCCTTTCTGAATTATTCTAGATCGTTCCGTTAAGAAAAAAAGTTCGATACTCAGCCAATGATTAACTGACGTTTGAGCGACCGACATTTGAGCAATCGACACTTGAGTGACCGACACTTGAGCGATCCCGACATTTGAGCGACCCACATTTGAGCGACCGCATTTGAAGGACTCCAACAATTGCGCGAAGCGCATCACTTATAGTTGCTCATCCTTACCCCCATTAACCCTCACCCTCACCCCACTCACCCTTACCCCACACAGCCTCACCCTCTAAAGATCTTCAAATAATTCAGTTCATAATCGGACGACAAAAAGACTGTTCTCGTCATCATTATTAATCGTTATCGAAGTGAATAATCATTCAACTTTCCTGATCGGCAAAAAGTCATATTGAAAAGTGTCTAATGTCGGAGTCTCTCAAACGTCGGTTGACGCAGCCAATGTTAGGGCTAGATCTTTAAAACTTTCAACACATAAATTTATACCTTTAAATTTCATTTCATTGCCGAAGCGTTAACTTTTTTCAGTTTTTACTCGCTTTTGGGAAAAATAGTATAACGAGTATAACCCGGTCTGAGGACCAAACCCAATAAGACTTTTTCTTATATTCATATACTCTATCTACTACCAAAGGATGACCAAAATCGCGATTGGAAAATGTCTCCCATTAGAAAATGATATTTTATTATTAGCAAATAACAAAAACATTTCCTCGTAATTATGATTCTATGAGACGATATTGGTTCAATAGATTTTCATGTTTAATCCGTTTCAAGTACGCTTTCACCGAACTCTCAGTGTGCTGCGAACTAGAAAACGACTAAATTTTCCTTTTTATTAAATGATCTGTTTCCAAAAAAAAGTCGTATTTTTTCTTTGGATTAATGCAAAAAAAAGGTGAAAATGTGTACTATTTGTTTTTCTCTCTCCTTCAAACAAACAGAAAAACTTCTTTCTTCTTTCTATAAAATAGCTATGAGCGTAATGACACTTTCACCTAGTACTCATGTTCATTTCAAAAATATGTGATTACTCATATGAAATAACAGAACAGAACCTTGATTTCAATAAATGGTTATTTCACCTTCAGGTATGTTTTTATCGTACATATAGTACATTACGTACAAGGAAACGATCGGCTTTTATATATAACTGCAGGCTTTGTGTTGTGTAGTGACTTCAAACTGTCGAACAGTTTTTCAGAATTCCAAAAGACATTTGTTCATAATCATTATAAAATCATTTTGATAGATGCGATTTTGTAATACTAAGTTGGTAAAGTAAGATATAAAACATACATCTTTAGAGAATTTTAAATAATGATATGTCAATTAACTGTGGTACTGAAATTACATATTCCATTGTCAGACATTTTCACCTTGAGGAACTTATTAAATTCATACGTTTGTATTCAAATAAACCAAGATTTAAAAAAAGTTTTCTATACAAATACAACATGCATTGAGTAAACAGAAATACAAGTAAAAATGATCCACAGCTCAAGGAAAATAAACAACTTATTTTAGTTTACTGTCCAGTGAATATAACTAACTTAAGGCTATCCGTTGATTTACACTCTTTACTTATAGAACTGAATAGGTCAATATAGCATGTCAGATCGACCATTGGTAACAGTTGTTGGTGCTACAGGATATCAAGGTGGATCCGTTGTACGATCATTAGCAGATACGGGGAAGTACAAGGTAGATCCTTCTTTTGTTTCTGTCAAATCAAAATAATTTTAAAACTATAATTAAAATAGATTCGTGGTTTGACTCGAGATAATACAAGTGTCAAAGCCCAAAACTTAAAACGTTCGTGTAATAATGACGGTACCGATATTGAGCTTGTTAATTGTGATATAACAAATAAAGATGATTTACTACGTGCTTTTAAGGGCAGTTGGGCTATTTATTCTTTAACAGATTTTTGGGCCCAGCCACATAAACCGGAGGCTGAAATGCAACAAGGCAAATTAATGGCTGATGTTGCAGCAAAATTGAATATACCTTATTATATATTTAGTTGTGCCCCCAATGTAAATGTTCTTAGTAACAATAAATTGTAAGTAATACTAATTTATATATATACGTATGATATGTTGTAGAGAAAGTACAAATTAACGATTCTATAGATTCACTAGTGATATAGATTCCCTAATAAGTACTGAGAAAGTATGCGAATGGGATTTTGATCTTCGCTAGGGAATAAATAGATTTCTCAAATACTATATGTTTGACTAGTTTTTTCCCCCAAAAAAAGGACAAATCTTTTAAATATGGCCATTTCTCGCTCAAGTTACAACATTTTGCACTCATGATGTAGTTTTGAATATACAGGATTCATTCATTAAGTGCGGAGTGGCGGCAACTTCCACAATTCCATGAAAATTCAAAAATTAGTCTAACCGCCACTCACGCTCACGCTGCAGCGCCCCCTCTCCCTACTCACATATTGATAGAATTCCAATTCTAGTTCAACCAAAATCTAGGAGAATTCCATTAAAACTGAGCAGATTCTGTTCGGATTTCAACTGGAGTTGCAATTCTACCAGTATGTGAGTAAGAAGAGGACGCTGCAGCGAGAGACTGAGTGTCGGTAAGAGTAATTCTCCTGAATACCGCAATTTACATGGAATTGTGGGAGTTGACATCACTCTGCACTTAATGGATGAACCCTGTATATACAGAACTACATCATGAGTGCAAAATGTTGTGAAAAGAGCGAGAAACAGGCATATTTAAAAGATTGTCCTTTTGGGGGGGAAAAACTAGCTAAGCATCTAGTATTTGAAAATTCTATTCATTCCCGAGCTAGGCTCAAAACTCCATTCGTATACGTTCTCAGTACTGATCAGGCAGTCTATAGACAGTGTGGAGACATATCCCGATCGGGATATACTCCCAATCGGGATATATATCCCGATTGGGATATCATTTTTTGCAGCAAAATTTTTT